TAGTTCTTTTATTCAGATCCTCAGAGAATTCTTTGCCATGAGGTGCCATGTTAAACTTCCACTGACCATTATGAGAGAGTGTGAGAGCGATAGCACCAAATTTAACACACCTGCTCCCCATTCACACCTGAGACCTTCTAACACTAATGAGTCACATGACACCGGGGGAGGGAAAATGGCTAATTGGGCCCAATTCGGACATCTTTATTTCATGGTGTATTCACTTCTGTTGCCAGTGGTTTAGACATTGATGGCTGTGTATTGAGTTATTTTGAGAAGACAGTAAATTTACGCTGTTATACAAGCTGTACACTAACTACTTTACATCATAGCAAAGTGTCATTTCTTCATTGTTGTCCCATGAAATTATATAATAAAATCTATCTTTTGTGACATACTGTAGATTCTCAGCCACTGAATATTCATACGTATGTCAAATCATAATGTCATAATACACATCAACAAACTTGATTGTAGTTTTCGTTGACAAAATTAAAACCAATGTGTCATTTCCTAAATGGTTAAAGTGTCCCATTTGATGTGACAGTGATGCTTTGATTTATTTGTGTGTCTGTGTGCGTGCATGTGTAAACGTCTGCAGCATATGAGTAGGTTTACAGGCCAATCTACTGCTGTCAACACAGCACAGAGGGAGAAGCAATGGGGTGGGGGGGGAAGGCATACTGACATTATGTGGACCTAAGTATGGTTACACAGTCATATTATGGGGACTTGTCTTCTTCAAAGAGACATAAGCAAGTCCCCATATTTTAAATGATTGCATTTTAGGAAGGGGGTTTAGGGTTACAGTTAAAGAATGTCTCCAGGAAAGTATTGTAAGTCAATGTAGTGTCCTCTGAAACCATGGAAACACGACTGTGTGTGTGTATGTGTGTGTGATCCACATAATGACCTTGAGTTCGTCTTCACTGTCACCTCCCCTGCAGTGCTAGAAGGCGCTTCTTTTGAAGAACAGAAATATCCTAAAGGATACATACACATTGGTGAATAACAATCAAATGCATTCTCAAGTTCAGCCTGCAATGTCGAAATGGTTACATTTCGTTTGCACCTGCACACAATCACAGACATGCTGTCTCTGAGAACTGCACCAAAGTCATGCAGGTTGAGACCAGATTATACTCCAGTGAGCCAAGAAGTGCTCACCATTTACCATGTGTTGACCAGTAGGTGCTTCAGTGGCAGGTCCTTAGTGACAGCTCATCATGTTCCGTGGAGGCTGTGCTCTTAACTTGAAGCCTAATGAGGAGGGAGAAGGAACTATTACATACCCAGCATTCATGGATTACACAGAATGACCTTTAATCAAACCCCCAGCTAGTATATGTGTAATCACAGCCTAAGTCAGTTAATCCCACACAAGCTTCTCCAACCCCACCCATCACCTCCACCCACCACTCACAAAGACGCATCCATCCTGAAACACTAGAACGTCATCTCAACTGACATTATTTTAATGCTTGCGCCTGAAGCATTATGTGTCCACCAAAGGAATTAATTAAATTCCTGCACTTTCCTGTACTTTGCAGTCCTTTAAATATAGATGCTTATCTTTATTGGCAGCTGAATCCTGGCTTTACCAACTAAATGAGCATTTGTTGCTCTTAGCTGCCTATAAAGGCCCAGAATATGGCAGAGTGCACTTATTTGCAGTTCCATCTGTTAATTCCAGCTGATGTCAGGCATAATGTAACTGAACATTTGAGTTGTCAAAAAAATTAAAAAGATATTTGTTTTCTTCTCTTGGGTGCAGCTAATAAGTCACTTTAGAAGAGTTGATCGTGATTAATGGTCATTTGTTTTGCTGCATACTATCACTTGCCATAAAGCACAGACTAATGACAACACTTACATTCTTCTGTATACAAAAGTGTTGGTCAGACCGGTGCCGTAAGGTCAGGCATACTGATAAGAATTAATTGAATTTCTATTGCGGTTTATACTGTGTTTATTAAAAGAAAAAACTATTTTTTCATATTTAAACAAAGTTTCATTGAACTTTGTCCTCTCCATGCAGCACTTCTAATGCTGTACATCATAATTTGAATAATTTTTTTTTTGATGAAGATCCAGTGTTTGTGCTCAGAGGTTGATGCACTGAGACACAAGGTCTTGCATCATCAAACTATCCAGTGCTGCCTAAATTCTGCAAAGCTGGTGAACTATGCCTGTTGCTGAATATTGGGGCTTGTGTGCTTTTTTGAAAAACGTCTATCAAAGTTGCCATTAGATACTTTATGAAAAATTGCAATGATACAACACAATAACAACAAGCAGTTCACTGGCATTCTGTAACTGCTTGTTCACTTGCACACCACTTTTCCTAACGGCAAGTTAAGAGCGCTAGAGAGGCTTATAAGTACATTTCAAGTACCAATTTGACCACTTGGGTTGCTTGGTTGAGACGAGCTGTTGTGTAACATCAGCATTTATTGCCCTAATAACTGTCATATTCAGTATATTGTGTACACAAAGGCCATGCTTTAAATAGAACATGCTGTTTATGTGGAAGGCTTTTCATCTTGGCCTCTCTCATTGCAGGTTGTTTTCTTTTTCTTTTTTTTTTTTTGCTTGTTTCTCTCTCTACCTCCTTTTCTGAAAGACAGGATAATAACTTGTGTTGTCACATTGTATGGTAGCAACATGTATAGAATACAAAATATATTTATCTTTGTGCGTCTCTCTATGTATCGTACATCACTTCAGTTTCAATTCTCCACAAGCGTGCCTTCTGTCTAACCAAAGCAAATTTAGTTTCAGTGTGGATAACATTGTCATATTAATGACTGTTAGCAACAAACACTCTCTACATTGCAATGCATGTCCCTCCTTTTCTAACATTATCACAGGGGAATATGTCACTGCAACCACGAAACAGTCTTTCAAATTTTTAAAACGTCCTACATGACAGACATCACAGCTTGTGGTCTGCCTTCACCTCTGCTCCCCAGACACTTGCATTGGGATAGAGTTGGGGGGGGGGGGAAAGAGTCATTTAAAATCCTAAGAGAGGGAGGGCTTTCACGATTATTCTTTTTTTAGACCAGCAGCATTTTTTTTTCCATCTTGCCACTCCCATAGAGATCTAAGAGCAGGTACAGAGAGCCATCTCCAAAGACGAAAGGGAGTTCAGTCTCAACAGTGAATCACAGGGAGATGGTGACAAAGACTGAGCACACAAAGTGTAGGTAAAGAGGCAGGTTAAAAAAAGAAAAAAATTGTGAGTTGTAAGGTTTTATTTCAGCTTGAGCAAATGAAAAGCCATATGTGTGTATGTGCTAAAAAAAAAAAAAAAAAGGCCAAGTATAGGGTGTGGTCACAGCAGCAGATGTACGTACACATAATACTGTGCCGTGCAAACTTTGCTATATATCCAGTCAAGCTACAATGGACAAACGGGTTAAAAAAAAAATCTTGAACTTGTTTTATTTTTTAAATGTGCACAGAAAGGTAATTTTTTGTACATAGGAGTAGACATACAGCATTAGACAGCAGTGCAAGCTACTATCACAGGTGCTTGGGGCTCCAGCCTGAGGCATTGTTTTCCACATCATTGCTCTTATTTTGAAATGCAAAACCTCAAAACACAACATGTTGCAGCATTTAAATTTGTTATCATAACTAAGTCTCTGTTAAAGCTAGAAACCACTCTCCATGCATAGATTTAAGAAAACAAAGCCACCTCGCATCCATTGTTTTCGTGAAGGCATTGCTAAGTAGTTGCATTAAGTAGTTGTGAAAGTGAGTTCTAAGACAATGACTTATTTTCTGGATCAATGCTGTGTGCAGTGAAAATAATAATATTAGTCATTTGGTTGTGACTTCAACAAGTGATACTCCAGGAGGGCTGGGCGGTATAGCTGAAAAATGTATCTCGATAAAATGTCGATATCATTAAACACTGATCATTTTTTAATGGCCTATAACTTTACATGAAGACCAGAAGAAAACATTTATTTGGAATTTAACCACTTTAGCATATTTATCAAGTTACGCAGGTAGCAGTTTATTGGTCACAATGGAAAACAGACAAATAAAAATAAAGAAAGATAAATTAATGAACTCACCTTGACACCTGTCAAAAAAGTAAAAAAAAGTAAAAACCCAGATGTGCACAAAGGGTGACAGGGTTAGGCCGTCAGGGTTCCAAGTTGTTTTCATAACCCAGGTGTCACCGGATGAGACCCTGCACTGGCCTCCGTTTGCACCTAAGACATCATGCCCACCAGCCCTCGGAGCAGGGTGTGGGAGCTGTCACTCCAGTCGAGGGGCTGTAGGGGCTTTTAGATGGCGATGGCTGTCCCGCAAGGGCAGCTCTCGTCCCTACCGGCCATGCCTCCAGCAGGGGAACTCAACTGGTGTGGGCAGAGTGGATCAGGAGCCCAGGCAGCTATGGACTAGTGCACTTCAGAGGGCCTTCACATACGCCACAGAGAGAGGGCAAAAGGGCTCCATTATTAAGAGATACGACAGACTGTTTGAGCCAGAAAGGGAGCCCACTTGGAATTTGTTTATACAACTGAGCTTTTTTTTTTTTCATTTGCTTCTAATGCCTTTAATTTAAACTGTCAAACATTCTATTTAACAATTTTCTTGCTGGTATTGATGAAGTGTCTATCACTGGTACAAATCATTTTCATGTTATCTCTAAGGCCAAATTCAAAGTGATTTAAGCAGCTAACTTCCAGCTTAGACTCAGCTCATAGCAGGAGGAACTTGGAGTTGATGTTGAAAGTGGCAGAGACCTGATGAACATCAGAAATAGAGATGGACGCAAGAAACTAGTAGATTGTAAATACTTTCACTAACTTTCACAGGTATGATTCAGCTGATCTGAACTGTCGGGCTGATCAGCTGGTGACATGAACATATATTTCGTTTTGCATTAAATAGCATCAGCCTCGCTGTCACCATCCTGGATGCCAATGATAACATACATTTTCTCTCTTTGGCTCTGTTTTTTTCTGTCTGCTTCTCAGCAATCGGCAGGCCTTCCTGTTGGAGAACGTGCCATGTAAAAACTCAGACTGCCACGATGTGGGACGAATGTTCCACATCCACTGGGACCAGTCAGACTTGGGAGCCATCCAGAATGCCACCATGGCCACATTCTTTGACATCTATGAGGATGTGAGTATTTGATATGTTGATTTTTGGTTTTCTCAATCACTGTTACATAAACACCATCCATTCTTCCCTCCGTTTTTCTTATTTTTCCTTTGATTCCATCCCACCTCTTACATCATGCGCCTCTCCTCTACCTGTCTGCCACCTTTGTCCCAGTTTGTCAGACGTGCCAAAAAACGAACATGGCTACAATGCCTACAATATTAAAGAGCTGTTATTGTTATGGAGAAGAACAATGAGTAAATCTCACAGAGCAAACTAGAATATTTGATTCTCTAATGTAGAAAAGCAGATGATGTTTGAACCTTTTTTCGACACTGACATCAACAAAATGATTTAACATTTATGGTTTTCCTTTCATACTCGCAAGTTATATTGTGGATTTAGACGGAGGACAGGATGTTTTCAGTTTAGGGTTTGTTTGATATCAGTAATACTGTTAAAACCACATAGAGTAGTTTGTGTACACACCTACTTTGCTCCATCTTTGCCAGCTTTTATATCCACAAGGCAAAGTGCTTTATTTTCTTAGTACGCTCTGCTGCTGTTTCACTCTGTTTACTCACTCTCATTATTACACACTGTCAGTCTTTTCTTCTTGTGCTTCTACCTGAATTTATTTCCAGCGTGGCAAAGGTGTTTTCTGCTTTAAAGATGCCTGCAGCAAAGCCTGATAATACACCCTTGCAGAGGCACAGGACATGCTACGAAACATGTACACACACTGTCTTACACATTAATTCTTAAATCGTTTGTGTGTCATAAACTCTGATTCCTACACACTCCCACTCATACCCTGTGACTGACTGCATATAGTACAATAACTGTACTGCAGTCTACTGTATGTGCTTGTCTTATCAGAATTAATTACTACTGCTAATGTGGCCTGTCTATTGAATTCAACTCTCCCTCTTTTCTTCCCTGGCTCTCTCACACACCCTTGAGAGAATTAAATGAGAGTGAGATGTAGGGAGTAGAAGAGAAAGAGGAGCGATGATATGATAAAGCTGAATCAGAAATCCAGTGTGTTAGAGGGATAAAAATGTACATAGAAGACGCACATACCATGCTCTCATTGTTCCTTATCTATGTGCCTGTCTTCATTTGCAGGGTATATTAGACATGCTGGTTCTGAGCCAGGCAGAGGGCAAAAAAGACTTGATCATCCATGCTTTGAAGAACAATTTTGAAGCTGATGCCTACTTTGTTAAAGTGATGGGTAAGTGACTGATCCGCTCTGTTCCCTCCTTCACTCCACATGCCTAAACCAGTTTGTTGAAGGGGTAACATGAAAGAAGAAGAGGTCTTCTTCTTCTTCTCATACACATTCAATACACAACTGAAAGTTGAATTTGTGATTTTATTTTTTCTTTCTATTCTTTTTTTTTTTTAAATGTTTCATTTAAAAAAAAAAAACTGAAACAGCCCCTCCTGGACCAATCACTGAATACAAGCAAGTCTTGGATACAAGCAGCCTAGAAAGCAGATGGCTATTAACTGCCATCATATTTGCAGTTTTTTTAAGCTGGAGCTATTTGAAATACAGCATCACAACCCTTTGCTGGTTCTCTACCTTAAGCCTCTCACTTAAGCAGATATCACACTGTGAGGTACACTATTCCCAGTCCAGTTGGTGCCATTGATGACAAGAGTGGAAGGAGAATAATTGGCTCCAACTTGAGAATGATCATGTATTATTTTTTTGCTGGAAGGAGCACAGTAAGATTCTCACATATAGTACTTTGAGTTTCCTTTCTGAATCAGATGTTTCTGTTTTCAGTAAGTCCATCTACTTTGTGGATTATGTGCAGTTAGTGTTGTTTTTTGCCACTTATGTTTTCTTCTAGTCAAGACCTGCTTTGTGAACTACACCAGTTTATCTCTATAAACTCTTCCATGACAGAAACTGAAGTGTGACAGTTTCTGAACATGTTTTGTTCCTGTTACATTTTTGCTCACTGTGGGCTCATTTTCACTGCAGTTTAAACACCTGCACCTTTATGGAAACAGCACAACAGCTCTTCTGTATATTGGTTTTGAGCCATGCTGTATATATTTTATAGCTCATGTTTTGTTTTGCTCTCAGTCCCTCTAATTAGTTTCATACTCTTCTCCTACCTGTGTTTTAGACATACAGTCCCTGATTTTTTGATAAGACACTGTTGTCTGCAGTTGTTTCACTCATTGTGTCTTAGATGCACTGAGAAGCGCGGACTTTTTAGGCTTTTCAGAATATATTGTGGAAATTTTTTTTTTCGATAAATATCATGACTTTAGCTTTAGATTTGGTTAATTTTCACAATGACTGCAAACTACAAATGATTAGTTCAAGAAATGTTCCAAAATTAAGAATCCATTGATTCTTTCTGTTTTTGTCTTTTCTGGCTCATATACGTAAAAGATGTACTTTTGGCAATATTTTATTTCACATGCCTGTCAGACCCACGGGTGGGTTTTGTGTATCAAAGGGTTAAACAAGAGCATCGTTTAAGGTGATGTAATGAACGCCATGTAAAACGTATTAATATGGATTGGCTGTTTTATCACTAAGCACACCATGTAGCCATGACATCCAGGGTTTGAAGCCATCCTGACACTGCTATCACATGTCTCTTTCCTTCCTTTCTCCCCATGTACCCTGTCACTTATCGCTTTTGACTGCCTTACAAAGGTGTCAGAAATGCCAGAAAAATAACCTTTATTCTGTCTCTGCAACAAAGATGACTAAATGTTCACAAAATCCAAAGAAATAGTACACATCTTTGTACAACGTGCTGTATTTTAGTCACACTTTAAACCTACTCTTCGCAAATGATGTCTGACGACAAGCAAGTGCAGCTTCAATATCTGGTCTCAACGTTCAGAAATAGTGTTATATATTTTTGGCTCACTGCTTTTCTTCTTTTCTTCAGTTAATAGATTTTATTTCTTTCATTTTTTTCACAATAGCTTAAACAGTTGAAATCAAGATGTGTTCTTCTGAAGTCAGAGTGTTGGTACAGTGTTAGTACCTGGTGACATTTGAGAATGATAAAAATAGTTCTACTCGAGGGTGGGCCTTTGCACAATTTAATCTGTCACTCTGCTCTGCTCATTAGCAGGAAAGGGAGCGTTGTTCATCCCTTTCTGTTTCAACACAGTTGGCAAACAGTTGTTGTTTTGTCTTTTGGGAAGGGAGGGGCTGCAATTGCTCCTCTGTTGCAGAATCACACACACACCGGTAGGAACACTTGATACACACTTATGATATGCGTCAGAATCAGTGTTCTTTGCCTGCTACTACATACACACCAATTTTACCTCACATATAAATGCTGCCGTATACACTGTGCAGTAGCAACTCAGTCTCACGGCAATTCGTTAGATAGTCACAAAATTTAATCTATTGTTTCGTGTCCTGGGACACGGTTTTCCCGACTTTTTCGTGTTCCCCAGCACGAATGTCAAACCAGTTCATTTCAATTGGAATTATCTTTCATGTCTGGGACACATTTTTTCCCTATCAGACAGCACATATACTGTGATGTTTTTGTCTTTCTTTTCTTCCGACAGTCAGGCATTAACCAATTTTACTGTTATGGCCCGTCCACACTAATAACCACAGAGATCACTATAAAGATGTGTGTGTCCACACTGACCAAAGTTAACATTCTGTAAACATCGGTGCTGAGCCGGTACCATGTGCTCCACCTGCCATAAGCTCCGTACTCATTAATAGAAAATACAAGAAATATACCCAAGCAGAGAGAAACTGTTCTGAGATCGCTCTGAAAGTGATCCCAACAATGTCATTCATAGATAGAAATATAAAACATGGATATAAACATAAATATAAGTGCTTTTATTGTGTTTGGGCTACATGCTCGTCGTTACTTTCATTTCTCTGTAAACAAACACAACTCTGAAAAGAAGGACACATGCAGGAAAATGGCGACCGGAACATGTACTGTGATCGCAGCGATAGATAATCTGTTGTAACTGAGAGACCAGCGTTGGGGAATGTATGTGGAGCTTTGTGCAGCTTTTAGCGCGATTGTGAGAATGAAAAACGCGGACAAAGAAATGGAACGAGAGAGTAAGACACACAACAAAAAAAAAACGAGAGAGAAGAGAAGAGACCAGAAAAAAAGCAGTTTCCTACTTTTATTCTCCACGGTGGGGAGCGTGTATAGAAGGCGAGAGGAGTTTTGGAAACTGAACCCGCCTCTCTTTGTAATGAAGAGGAGAAAAGGCTGCGTTTCTTAACTTAAATTAAGAAAATGCACCATACATGCGAATGCGATAATCCATCTCTCACCATGACCCATGAACGTGAAATGAAAGAACAGTGACATACACATATGTCATGAGGAATAGCCTAGGCTATGCAGCACAAATAGGAATGTGATGTTAAATGTTACACTGAGCCAAAATATAAACGTGCCATGTCAAATATAGGAGTTTTATGAACATTTGGGTTATGCAATATATAGAGAAACTCAAAATATATTTTCAGTAATTACTGATCTTCATATCGGCATTGATAACATTGTGGTATGGCCATTTGTAGCGGATTGACAGTCCTTTGAACATGATAGGGGTCAGGTTGAGGAATTTGATTTTTCAGTATCTTGTGTGTCCTCCAGCTGCGTCTCTCAGAGCAACACATCTTCTTCGCATGGAGTTGATCAGATTGTCTATGGTGGCCTGTGGAATGTTATTCCATTCCTCCTGGAGTGCCACACGGAGCTGACCCACAGCATTACTTGTATTCAGCATTACTTTTATGGCTGTGCTTATCAACTCACAGCTCCCTCCCCCTCCACCCCTCACTTGCTGGGATCACAGTTGGTAAGAGCGGGGGAGAGTAGCCATAGAAAGAGGAAACAGGAATATTCACACCTCAGTGAGAGTCACGGTGTCTTTGAAGTTGTTGTTTCCAAAGTGCTAGTGTTTGTTTCACTTGTTGTTTCATGCCTCTACAGGAGGTATGAGCATCCATGCTGTAAGAAAGTGCATACATCACCATTTTTCCAGTGGAAAACCAATGGTGAACTTGATCACTGTGAGTTTTCCCATTCTGCATTGTGTCCAAGGTGGTGGTTTTATGATGGGAGTAGATCCAGAACTTAAACAAAAACAGTGCTTGTTACCTGGTGTGCTCCCTTGATTGGCATTCCAGAGAAAACCAAACTGTGTCTGCTACAGCAGGTTCACAGTATAGAGCAGTTTGAACAGAATTCAACATATGATTGACATTGACTCATAATACCACACAAAATGATGAGAATCTGAGAATAAAGCAAAGTCATATTTAGTATTTAACTCATTTAAACTGGGACAGAGGAAGATTGAAACAGTTGGTAACGTAGCAGGTATATATGCCATGTGGATTTTGGTAGTCCAGGATTGTGTTTGTGTGCATCTTTGCCTCAGTGTGTTAGTGCCTACCATGATGGTGCAGTGCAAGTGTCACTACCAGGGTAGGATGTCAGACAGTGAGATGTCTTAGTGAGTGTTCTCATGATGTGAGCCAGCAAACAGCGAACTGCTCTTTCTGCCACTTGAATAACACACAGCTTACCTGCCTAGAAATGGGAGGAGCAGAGCCATGCCCAGCTGCACCAGTGTTTTTCATGGTAGGACTTTAGTGTTGCACGAGGATTACTTGCATCACACTGAATTGCTGAAAGCAACACAGTAACATCCTGTCGGTGGTCGAATTCAATATAACGCTCTTAGCCCACTTGAAGTTGTTTCCAGCCACTCTGTTATGTTCAGGTCAGCACCGCGAGGAGCACTGTAGCTTCATGGCGAGGTTACACTTTATTTGCAGGAGGGAGATGAAGGAGAGACATTGAGTTGGACTTGATGGTAACACTGAAGCCTTGTGTTTTAGCATCCACCTTAGCATTTGTGGGATATATTTCTTTGTGGTCAGAGTGGGGTCCTACTGTAGGTGCAAATGATTCCCAGGTGCACAGCAGAAGTCTGTGTGGACTACACCATCTAATTATTGTGGTCATACAGTGTAGTGTTTTACACACCATCATATGTGCTTGTTAGGACTGAATAATTACTTTGAATTGAAAGAGTGCCATTTTCAATTTGCAAGAACTGCTCTTTTAATTAGGCTATACCACACAGTTTTAGAAATGTGTCTGAAAGGCTATGAAAGGAACATAATGGTGGAGCCACTGTTAATTTTGCTGGCTGGCATTTGCAAATTTAAGTAGCTAA